GGAAATATCCTTCAAAATCACAGAAATGCCTGATCCTCGATGAAGCTACTATGTACGTACTACTACAACTTTGTTGTTGTTGTTCGGAGACATGATCTCTAACCCAGGCTGCCATTGAACTCCCTATAAAGCTGAGGATGACCTTGAACTTCTGACCGCCTAACCCCATTCCCGGGTCAGGTGCTAGGTAGGATTACAGGTGTGTGTCATCATGCTGTTCATGAAGTGCTAGGGATCAAAGCCAGGGCGGGCCTTGTGGATGCTAGGGATTGCTACCAACTGAGCTGCATCCCCAGCCCCTCAGTCTTTTCCACAGAAAGCTTGAGTGTAGTTTTGTGGTAACATCCATGCACTGCTGTTCCTCTCCATCTCTCGATGACTGGATTGTGACTTATTCAGAAGGGGCAGATCTCAGTTTACCTATAGTGCTTGCCAACCCTAAGATTTCAGTGAACCTCCGGGCAAAGATGTGCAAATGTAGGGTGCATCCAGGGGATTTTTATTTTGAGTTTTTTTTGGGGTGTGTCAAAAAAAGCTTATTGACTAACTGAAAGTACTGTAAAAATTTTTAATCTAATTTTTGATGTTTGTTTTAATGTAGCGATTCAATTAGGTTTTCTAAACCACTTAAGAGTTTGAATTTCCTCATCTGTAAGAATCAGATCCTGAATACACACACATGTGGATACAGACACACAACATACAATATAAAAACATTATGGTGGGGGACAAGGAGAGATGGGGGCTGGGGGGGTAGCCCAGGACCCTGACTTGGATCTCTAGCTGGTGACACCTACTTGTCACACCAGCACTTGAGGAACAGAGGGAAGAGACCAAAAGTTCAAGGTCATCTTCAGCTACAGAGAGAGCTTGAGCGCAGTCCAGAGTACAAGAGACCTCGTCTCCAGACTCTTAGAGGTAGGGTGGCTCAGTGCGTTAGCACACTTGCTGCTAAACGTGACCTAAGTCTGAGTCCCAGAACCCATAGGGAAGAGGGACAGAGCCAACCCATGCAGGTTGTCCACTGACCCCCACATGCGTGCGCGCGCGCACACACACACACACACACACACACACACACACACACACACACATACAAAATAAATAAACAAACAAACCAAGGTTAGAATAAAAAACTTACTAGGTTTTTACAGAATTTACTGAGGAAATCGCGTTGTGCATCTAGAATGGTCTCTAACACAGGGCATTTCTAGTGTTCGTTAGGGAGACAGAAACATGTAAAAGCAAATACATTTTCAATATGTAAGTTAAATTCTAAGTAAATAGTAAAATAGGAGCCAAATCCTAAGACATACAAAAGCTGAAGAACTGAATGTAATGGTGATAGACTAGGAATCTGGTCTTCTGGAGCCTTCTAGCATAATTTTGTGAAAACTTTAAAATTGAGCATGTGTAAGCTGACCTAGTAGTCCCTGCGTTCAGGAGAGAGACTTCCTGGGAACACGGGAAGCATTAATGGTCTTTACTTCTGCATCCTGCCGGTCACTTCCTGTTAGCTGCATGCCAAGAAGGGAGTGTTTCTCAAAAGGACTAAACAGACTTAGGTTGTCCTTCTTTGCTGTGGAGTTCCCGGTACAAAGAGGAAGAGGCATAGCAATAGAATGAGATTCGAATGTCTGAAGTCTAGAGAAAAGACAAGGCCAGTGGCTCTCGGGCAGCAGGAACCCTGGTCACTAACAACTGGAAAACCACCTCAGCAGCAGGCTGTTGTGAGGCTTCCGAGAGCCTGGAGCATGCCACGCCTCATCATGGAACAGTACCTCTGTATAGCCCAGGCTGGCCTCACACTAGCCATGTAGCTGAGGCTGGCCTTGATCATCCTGCTGTTAACTCCCCGGTGGTCCCTGGCTCCTTCATCCCATCCTAAGTCAAATAACGACATGCTCGTTTTTCCCCTGCTCTTTTTCTGGTTTTTATTCTCCTGCACACCCAGAAAGTAAACTCACTGAAAAATAGAAGGAGTGTGATGGTGTCTCCCTAGGAAATCAACAAGATTTATTCCTGCTCTCTGATTGCTTCAGCAGTGAAAGGACGATGGATCTAGTCCTGGAAATGTGCAACACCAATTCTATCCACTGGTGTGGGATTTCAGGAAGACAGCTGGGGAAGCTGCACCCGAGCTCCTCGCTCTGCCTGGCCCTCACTCTCCTGTCGTCAGTACAGGGGCTCCAAGTACGTGCTCTTCTCGGTAACCAACGGGGCGGGCTAAACTATCGTTTCTGATAGCCGTATTTTCTCTAGGACTTATCAGTGAGTGAGAACTGAAGTGCCTCTCTCTCTCTCTCTCTCTCTCTCTCTCTCTCTCTCTCTCTCTCTCTCTCCAGAGTGTCTCTGGCTTAAGACTCACTGACACATTCTTAAAGAG